AAATATATGGAGGATAGATATTGTAAATATGAGATATTTTTATAAACAGTGAAATGATTTCTGATATATGATACGGAATACGTATATTTAAAATCGAAACAACTGAAATCTAAAATTCGGTATATAGAGTATAGGTTTAAAAATGTTCTAGTTTTTGGGGAATCATTTCGATATGGTAGAAAATAAATATGTATATATATAATTCCTATTTCAATACATTATCGCTTCACCAGACAGCGTAAACCACCAAAAATGTTCAAAATTTGGGGTCTAAAAGTGTTAATAAACATTTTATAATTTTGTACGAAATAAATTTTTAATAGCCCAGTCATTTGAGCTTAAATTAGGTAAGAATCTCGGAATTCTAAATACCCAGCTGTAAGTCTGTAAATTCTTGTATATTGACATATATTAAAAGTTGTCTTAAAACCTACATATAGTACGTACACCCTATCATAACAGTCTCCCTTACATAAAAATTGGTCAACCCATTTTTTCAAAAATTTATTTGAGAAGTTGGGAACTGAGTTAATTTTCGACAAAGGACAATTGCAAAGAATTTCTTTGCAATCAATTTAGAAGAATCTTGGTTTATTAAAAAATAAAAAATTCAAAAACTTCTATACCGATTCACAAAATACGTTAAAAATATATTTGAAATTCAGTTTCTAACTAAAGTTGTATTGAGTTTAAATTTTTAAATTCCAACTAAATTTTTTATCAAAACGTAGACTAGTTTAAATTATTATATTTAAAAGAGCAAAGTTAAAATTCACTTAAGAGCAATAGGAATAATGAAGAGATATGACTTGAAAAACTGTAAGAGAACACGTATGCAGAACTGGAATGATTCATAAACAGTTTTAAAAATATTTAGCGAATAAAAAAATATAATACGACTATTTTCTTTATTTATTTTAATTTTTCATTTTATTTTAACCTTGTCTCTAATTTAAGTATTTATTCTTTCTCTATTCGATAACATAATTCAAGGCAATGAAAAATATTGAGAACTCTTCCCCAAAACTAAGCACTTTTTAAAACGTGGGGTGCGAAACACATATCACCTCACAATGATATACGATTTCGAAAGGAATATTTTTTCGACATAAAAATTTATTGTTTTCGCATTTTGCACATCTGAATGTGCTTCTGATAAAATATTGCTTTTTGAAATTCTCGACAACACCTCGACAAAATCATTCCGATCCTTTGAAAAAACAAAATATATGTAACAAAAATATATGAAACAGAAAAGTAAAAATTTTGAAGAAAAAGAAACATTTGTAAAGCATAAAATCATCACAATTATTAATGATGTTATTAATAATTATTGACAGTTGTAATCGACTTAGGTATTGAGATTTCAAAATTATGACGATAAAACTTTCACAACTTTTCGTAGGCCTATAATATTCTAAGGAATGTTTGTTCAGAGTAGACCACTAACTATCATTACGCATATATTCATTAAAATCGCAAAAAAAAATACAAAGAAAAGACCCGTAAAAAAACAATTTTTCTTGTAACTCTGAAGAAACGGCTCAGCCAATCGTCGCGCAAAGTTAACCTTGGATAGTAGTTTTGGAAAAAACGTCGACGAAGGGTCAAATTTTGGTTTGTATGTAAACCACGCACATACTTTTCACAAATTTTCGTGTCAAACGACACATAATTATATAAAACGTCGAGAAAACATAAAATTAGCAAATTGGATTTTCTGGCAGAAACCAACTTCTTCGGCATTTAAAAAAAATCAATTGAATAAAATGTAATAAATATATAATATCAACATCAATAAAGTATTTTGTGTCAAACCATTTAGAATGACTTGAAAAATCGAGATAACACAAAACTAGCAAATCGGATTATCTGGCGAAAACAAACTTCTGCGGTATTAAAAAAAACTTCAAATTTTAATTGAATAAAATATATTATATATATTGTATTAATATCAATAAAGTATTTGGTGTCAAACGACTCAGAATGACATGGAATGTCGAAAAAATTAAATTAGCAAATCAGATTTTCTGGCAAAAACAAACTTCTACGGTATGCTAAAAACTAGAATAAATTTTAATTGAATAAAATGTATTAATATCAATAAAGTATATGGTGTCAAACGACTCAGAATGACTTGAAACATCGAGATAGCACATAACTAGCAAATCGGATTATCTGGCAAATACACACTTCTTCTGTATTTAAAAAGAAATTGATTGAATTGTATTAAATATATTTTATTGTTTAATCTTATTAAAGTATTTGGTGTCAAACTATTCAGAATGACATGGAATGTCGAAAAAACAAAGTTAGCAAATCGGATTTTCTGGCAAAAACAAACTAATTCTGTATTTAAAAAGAAATTGATTAAAATGTATTAAATATATTGTATTAACGTTATTAAAAGTATTTGGAGTCACACGATTCAGAATGACTTGAAACGTCAAAAAACAAACAAAATTAGCAAATCGGATTTCCTGGCGAAAACAAACTACTCAGGGATGTTAAAAAAACATTAAATTTTAATCGAATAAAATGTATTAAATATATTGCATAAATAATAATATTAATAAATAATTTTCTATTAATAATAAAAACATTAAAAAAAAATATAAAAAAGTCAAATTTGGTTCGCATGCACACACACTCGTACACACACACACACCTCTACTCAATGCACCTACGTTTTCTAATTTTGGTGGCAAACGGTTCAGAATGACTTGAAAAGTCGGAAGATTAAAATTAATGAAGTATTTTTTACTAATAATACAAAAATGATATGATAAAAAACTTAAAAAAAAAAATTAACCATATGTTCCATCTATCAGAAATGAGAATGAGAATCGTTGCTATGGTAACTATATTGACCAAAACAAAAACCTCTTACAACATGAATAGATAAATATACATGTGTCAAACACTACACTTGAATATAAAATTATTAAAATAAATGTCTTAAAAACAAACAAAATTATAATAAATTTCTCTACGGAACGCAAAAAAAAGTAGAAGCCAACATAAAAAAGGATAACTCAACAGGTAAGTAATGCCATGAGAATATTTCACAAAGAATTGAATTGAATGTTTTCATAAATATTTTTTTACTTAATATTTCACAATTATTTCACCAGCCTCATCATGTCTGAACTATCCAAAATGGGCATCTACTTCGATGAAGTGAACACATTAAGAGTCCTAGAACCCCAAATAGCAAATCAAACCAACGACCTTAGTGATGAATGCCAGATCTACGTTGAAAAAATATCTTCTTTCTACAACATAGCAAATGACTTCGTGAGCACCATAGAGACTTTAGCAGAAGCCGTCGAAAAAGAAAAAATGAAAGCAATTGGGGCCAGAAATCTTTTGCAATCAATGTCAAAACAAAGGGAAAATGAACAACAGCAGTTGCAAAGTCAGATTCTTGAAAAAGCTATGGAGCTGGATAGATTGAAAGTTGAATACCATGCCTGGCAAGGAGTAGAACTAGAAAGACAGGAAACTTTGGATCATCTGCTGCAAAATAAATAAAGAGGGTAAAGGACTTATTAGATGTGTATATAAAATTATTATGTTTCTTTGTAAATGTATGTAAAATTAAATTTAAATATATCAAACTCATTGGAGATAGAAGTCAATAAGGCTTAAGTATCAATACAACAAATTGTTTATTGTATATCGAATGCTAACATATCAATACTTAGTCGAAAGAGGTCATAAAGCCACATCGTAAACATAAACTGATGTCTCATCGATAGACCAAGTTAGATGTTAAAATTTTACATATGGTGAATAAACAAATTTGAAGACCAATATGCTGTTTATACTATTATATTAATTAATATATACACTATAATATTAATATATACACATAGTTAGAAACCAAAATTTTATTTCAATATTAAAATGTAGTGAATGAAATAAACAAGACTTCTAAAGTGGTACAATTTTTTTTTACATCACTTTGAAAATTTCCAATACATTTAATGAAAATTATCAAAACAATTGAAAAGTTACATATGATCACAAAAACTGTAGCTCTAAAAGCCATTTTTATTTATTTTAATATTAAAGTAAAATTTGGTTTATAACTATTCATATATAAATATTAATTAGTGCTTCTAATTTTCTGCATTTTGTTGAATTATTTGTATGCACTGAAGATGGATTAAATCAAAACTCGAATCTTATGCTATTCTAATGAAAACATCCTTCTTCATTAAATTCATTTTAATATTGTGAATGGATGTCTGAAAACATTTCACAATCTGAAAAATCTTACAATTTATATGTATATATGTGTGTACATATGTAGGAAAAATAAGCTCTTAACATATCGTCCAACATTATATATCGATATACCTGCCTATTCATACTCTACGTATAGTAGCATTTCAAAAGTACTCTTATATATTTTCGAAATAAAACTTTCAGACAACCGTTACAGAATCTTATATCATGTATAAGAATTTTGAAATTTAGCTAGTCACATTTTAATATGTACTGCTGATGGTTTCAAATCTGTTGATTCCTAACTAAAAAAATATTAGAAAATAGCCATTACATATTTCCAAAATAAAACTTCAAAAAATACTCAAAGCCAAGAGCAAACTCAAAATTCCTAAATTATATTTTGGAGTAAACAAACATCATAACAATATTGCTCATAAAAGTAGATAGGGAGAATATTGCATAGGTAAGAAAAAAATATATTTTAAGGACTAGATGATAATGACCCCAAATTTAAAGGATCGATCACCAATTTATATATAGCTCTTAATATATCGTCCAACATAACATATCGATATATCTGCCTATTCATCATCTACAAATAAAGATCTTAGGTCGTTCTATCTTAATATATTTTCCAACATAATGTACTGCTGATAATTTCAAATCTGTAGATCCAACAATTAAAAATATCAGAAAATAACCATCACAAAATTACCCATTTGAATTACTCAAAGCCAATAGCAAATTTAAAATAATGAACAAGCTAACAATCATAGATAAACAAGTATAAGCTAACAACATATTTTATCTCTCATAAAAGTAAATACCAGATAAATTACAGTACATGTAGACAGAATTTTATAATAAAGACTAGATGATAAATAAATAAATAAATAAATAAATTTATTTATCATTTAGTCTGTATTATAAAGTACTGTCTACTTGTGCATGACTAGTATAGATGATAATGACCCCAAATTTATTGCATCAATTTATCCTAAATAAGTAACTCCTTTTATTTTCCTAATTTGGTATATAATGATCCTAGTGCCTAGTACCTTTTGTGCTTCTATGTCTGATTTTGAAAATAAGCAAATAAATTGCATGAAGTATATATTTTGTAATTTTATATGAATGCATGTACTTTATATTTATACTAAGTATATATTTATTTATTATATTTAAGTATATATTTGATCTTTTCGAAGTATAAATACAAACCCATTCATTGATTGGAATAACATTGGAACTATCCGTCTAGAATTCAATGCATACTTTCAATAGAACGAATAATATTTGGAGTTGGATTAATACACTGCGATAGAATACTATTGTGAGCTTTAGTATTTATCGATTACCTATACCTATTAAATATACCTGAAAATATCTGTATCATTTACAGTAGTTGAAAGTAAGATTGCATTACATTGCAAGTGGTAATCATAAAGATACCAGATTGGATTGGATTTCTATATACACTCCATTATAATACTATTGTATCAAGTACTTATTGATTACTTATGAATATACCTGAAAAAATCTGTATAGTGTACAGTACTGGAGAGTAAGATTGCATTGCAAAGCAAGTGGTAATCATAAAGATACCATAAATTTATAATCGAGTTGGATTTATATACACACTGTGATAAAATACTATTGTGAGCTTTATTACTTATCGATTACCTGACAATGTCTATATCGTATACAGTTGTGGAGAGTAAGATTGCATTACAATGCAAGTGGTAATACCAGATGTTTATAATCGGGAGGGATTTGCTAAATATACCTGACAATATTGTACCTTTTGGAATACCATGATATGGTTTTAATCGAATATTCTACAAGAACTAATGTGATATCTTTGTAGATACATAAATTTTCTGATATATTTTAAAGAGTGACTGTTTAAATGAGCAAATTCAATTATGATTAAAATATCCATATTTAAATAGTTACTCTATCATAAATTATATATATATATATATATATATATATATATATATTTAAGACCCTTGTATATAAAATTGTTCATAAATATTTGAATCGTAATCAAAAAATCAGTTCCCATTACGATTATTTATATAACCTTGCAGAGCTTATATTGATATTATATATTAATTTTATTGATATGATGTTAATTTTATAACTTTAATTAATGCCATATTATGCCTTACTGATTATTTAGAATACTATTATAAAATCTGATTATTTAGAATTGTATTATGAGTGACTGATAATTAAATTATAGTGACATTAAACAAAAAATATTTTTACTATTGTAAAAGTTAATTATGAATATATATATATCTGTATTGTGTAAAGTAGTGGAGAGTAAGATTGCATTACAATGCAAGTGGTAATCATAAAGATACCAGAAGTTTACAATCGGGTTGGCTTTATAAACACACTGCGTTACAATACTATTGCAAGCTTCAATACTTTGCAAATACCTGTAAATATACCTGACAATATCTGTATCGTGTACTGTAGTGGTTAGTAAGATTGCATTACAATGCAAGTGGTAATCATAAAGATACCAGAAGTAGGGTAGTATTTATATACACAAAGCGTTTGAATAATATTGTGAGCTTCAGTACTTATCGATTACCTGTAAATATAGCTGACAATATCTGTGTACAGTTGTGGAGAGTGAGATTACATTAAAATGCAAGTTGTAATCATAAAGATACCAGAAGATACCAGAAGTTATAATCGGTTGCATTCACAGACACATTGCCCACACTATTGTGAGCTTTAGAAGCTATGGCTTACTTGTAAACATACCTAACAATATCTGTATCTTAAACATTGCAAGTGGTAATAATAAATGTACCATAAACTTATAATCGGGTTAGATTCATAGACACATTGTGCAAGAATACTTTTGTAAGCTTCACTACTTATCGATTATCTGTAAACATATGTGACAATATCTGTATCTTATACAGTAGTGTAAAGTAATATTGCATTACAATGCAAGTGGTAATCATAAAGATACCATAAGTTTATAATCAGGTTGCATTCACAGACACATTGCCCGAGAATACTATTGTGAGCTTTAGAACCTATCGATTACCTGTAAATATACCTGACAACATCTGTATTGTGCAAAATTGTGTAGTATAAGAGTATAAGCACCATTTTTCAACATATATAAAGATAAATATGAGAAATACAGCTAAGTAAACGCAGAGAAGTCTGTCACACCTGTTGAAGGCATATTTATATTAAAATATAACAGTTATTACAATTTTACCTGATGTTTGACATCTTTGCCGTCATCCAGGGTAGCCGCTTGAATATTCAATGAAAGGACACAAGAGTCTTTCGAATTCCACACAAATAGTGTGTCATCCATACACTCTATGATATTTTGAGGATCGGTCACATTTTCCGGAAGACACTTCTCAATAACTTTGAAAATCTCTTTCTCACTCAGCCCCAAACAGTCAGTTACCCTATTTTTAATCATAGTGTCTCTTGTATGATAATAATAAAAAAACGTTGTTATTATTCACCGGTGAAAACTTCTTTGCTCAAAACATAACCTAACTTTTGTCTGGCGTTTGCATGGCGAGTGCAAGAATCAAAACAAAGCGCGCGAAGGAAGTGTGGCGGATTGCCGATAGATGGAACACTCGTAGGTGTGAAACCTTGCTAACTTAGTTTATTCTTCGGGGCACTGCTAGTGTAACTGCCTAAAAAAGGTGATTTTTGGGAATTTATATTAAAAAAAATACTTTATGATTTCGAAATTTTAAGAATATATTTACACATGTTTTAAGAATACATAGTAAAATTTTTGAAGAAAAAAATTAAATATTTTTTAAGTTATCGTCGATCTCAAAAAGGCCCTTCACTGCTGCAGTGATTCCGGCCTTCTACGTGGATAAAATTTAAAATTTAAAAATTCTCATTAAACTAGATAATATTGTCTGTAAAATGAACTACGATAAAAAAAAATAATCAAAAATTGACAAAATGGCGGCGTTTTTTTAAAAAAGTCGAATTTTACCCAAAATTTTGGTCGTTTTTGGACTGCCAAAATTCGATTTTTGATCCGATCAAAAAATCGATAGTTTATTTTACGGAGAACTATATATAGAACATTTTAAAAAAAATTGATAGTGATCGGATCATTTGTTTTTGAGTAATCGCTGCAGCAAATTCGGAAAATGCTGTTTCGAGAAAAACGCGTTTAAAGATAAAATGACCATTATACTATATACTATATATATACTCTTTAAATGGCTGTAACTCAAAAAAGATATCTATTTAAGATATCGATTTAAAATTTTGGTATGTTATTTTTAAAGGTATAACCTATCGAAATATGGAAAAATTGAAAATTCAATTTTTTGAAAATTTTACACTA